GCATTGCATTCCCGATCCGTAGGTGTCCAAGATGAGTAGAACTCAATCTCGTTTGGATTGTCTTAAGCACTGTGATGGTTTTCGACGTGTGTCAAAAACCTGGCTGAACACAAAAATACCCGGTCATTCATCACAATGCGTCATTTTTTCCGATATTCTCTTAATTTTTCTCTTTTAGTAGATTCCTTTCTTTGTATTCTGGATGGAGTCCTTTAGCTCAGTGGTTAGAGCACTCGCCTCGCAAGTGAGAGGACCTGGGTTCGATTCCCGGTCAGGGTGAAACATTGGGCAAGTTTCCTTACTCTACACGCCTCTGTTTACCAGCAGTAAGTAGGAACACGGTCGTTAGTTGAAAATAATAATAATAATAATTTGGTCACTCAGTCCATGACTATTTGTGGGACACTGGGTGCAATTGCCCGCAAAATATACAATCAATTCACTTCACAGTATTTTCTGTGAAGCGCTTTGAGACGTCTTGAAGACGTGATAAGGCGCTATGTCAAATGCAAGGATTATTATTTTTATGTTTCTTTTTTATGTTCAGTTTTTCTAAGACATTCAAAGTGACAGACAGCATTGATGAATGTTATTGCCTCACAACCAAACACATCACAAATAGTTGTGAGATCTGCCAGGATACCTGACCCACATGAGGTGCAATGAGTGAAACTGGTGAAATCTTACGCTTGACAGTGGCAGAGTCTGACACTAGCCAGTGGGAGAGAGAGGGGGGGAAGATGTCCGTAAGTACGATCAAAAAGGACTTTAGGCAGGATTTGAAAGTGGGGAGGGAGGTGGCAAGGCGGAGGGATTGAGGGAGAGTTCCAGAGTTTCGGGGCGTAGCCACCTTTATTCACCAATGTGAGACTGAACTCTTATCTCCATTCCTTCGTAAGATGTCATTTTAGTCACCCACTGGCACATCAGTAGGAGGAACTGAGCTGAGATTATAAAGTAGAAGCAAGTTGACATTAATTCTCTGATTTAATTTTTAAAAGCCTCACGTGCAAAATGTTGTCAAATGCATTTTGAACATCCAGTTCAATTGTATCTGCTGGGTTTCTCCCAACTGCTGATTTAGTTAACTCCTCAAAGATTTTCAGTGGAATCCAGCTGTGTTCATTGACCAGTAGATTTCTGAGGCACAAACTAGCCATGATTTTGACCAGCAACAGATGTAAAATTCTGAGGTGAATTTCAACTGCGTAAAAATCCAATAAGTGGTAATGCATTCCTCAGTGCTGTGTTTCTACAGTGTATTCCAGAATAACCTGCTGAGACTTGAATCGGTGTGATATTAAGTCCTGTATTACAGTCCTGTAGAGTAGTGGTTAGAGCACCCGCCTTGCAAGCGAGAGTACCGGCTTTGATTCTTGGGCGGGTTGAAACCTGAGGCAAGTTTGCTTACTCTACATGCCTGTGTGTGGGACAATTGACTGCTGCATTTCACCTCCAAAATACATAGTCCACCCACTTTACAGTATATTCTGTGAAGGGTTTTGAGACATCTCAACAACGTGATAAGTCATTATATCAAATGCAAGGATTATTATTGTTATCAAGAGGGTCTTGTCTTTCGATTGCTTGAACTTTTTTCTTGAACCAGTTGTCAGTCTAGATCTCAGAACTGAGAGGTTATACTATCAGGAAAGGCTGAACATACTTGGACTCTTTTCTTTTGAGTAAGGGTAAGGGGTGACCCGATAGAGGTCTTTAAAATGATGAAAGGTTTTGATAGGGTCGACATAGGGAAGATGTTTCCACTGGTGGGGGAGACCAAAACCAGGGCCATCAATATAAAACAGTCACAAATAAATCAAATAGGGAAGTTAGAATAAATTTCTTCACACAGAGAGTAGTGGGAATGTGAACATGCTGCCACAAGGGAGTTGTTGAGGCAAATAGCATAGATGTATTTAAGGGGAAGCTGGATAGGTACATGAGGGAGAAAGGAATAGAAGGCTTGAAGGCTTAGTTGAGGAAGGGCAGGAGGAGGCTCATGTGGAGCATAAACACCGGGATAGACCAGTTGGGCCGAATGGCCTGTTTCTGTGCTGTATATTCTATGCTAATATACTTGATCACTTGCCTATCATGGAAATAGTGGAGTGAGAAAAGGTGGCTGCAGAATCATGACGAATCACTAACAACTTGTAAGAGAGAAGTAGCTAATTATTTGGGGAGGACAAGTTTGCAGGGCTATGGGGAGAGGGCGGGGGAGTGGGATTGATTTGGAAGCTCTTTTCAAAGAGTCAGCACAGACAATGGGCCGAATGGCCTCCTTCTGTGCTTGTCCTGTGCTTCTATGACTGCTATAAGGGCTTTTCCATTTCCTTGAGTCAGTGAGGATTTTATTGACTTCCAATTAAATTTTCTGCAGTGTTCCCTCCATGTACCTTAGTATGGATGAATTGTGCAAAGTATTTTTACACTCTTAATGGGAGACGGAGAGATAGAATATTGAATTTCTCGGTGAATTTCCTGTCCTGTTCCAATACCACTTCTAGGCAATCTCTAACCTTGTGTGGCATTAATAGCTTTCATTATACAGATTTGTGCAGTCGGCCACACATATTGAGTTTCCATCATTTTTCCTTGAAGATTAAATCTGCTGACGAGCAATATTTTCAATTGAAAAATAAATCCAATAAATTAAGTGTGAATGGCACTGAACACTCCCTGATGCCTCAAGGGTAAATACCGCACTCGTAATAACTGACTTCCCAGATTTTTTTCCCTAATTGGGAGTATCATCCCTGCAAATGTGAATGATAATTCAGGAGCTTTTATACTTGTGAAAGGTATTGAGCCTATATTTTTTTTAAATCAAAATGTAAAATTGCGACGCTCTGTCTGCACTGACAAAGCAGACTTCTGCACAAGTTCCACCAAGTCCTACTGCTTGTTCGTGATGTCTCACTGTAATGAGATCTAACACCTCATGTAGTTTGTCAGTAGCCTCGTCTGTGTTTTGTACTGTATGCAGTTTCTGTCCATAGACTCAGTGTTTTGCAGGGCCGCAGTCAGCTTTGTAAACATTGCTCATCATAAACCATTTTTAAAATGAACCACAGATTCTAAAATGTAGGAAAGTGTGGATTTCTGAAATATATTTCCTCCAATTAACAAAACTTCAGCAACTCCTACATTTTAAAGTGACTGTGACTGTACACTGGGGTTCAGGTCTGCATTGTTGTTTGGGTCAAAGGAACAGCTTAACGCGGGCAGGAATGTAATGACAATACTTGTGATTGGGCTGCAGTCGTGTGTTGGGTGATGTTTACAGGAAGATGGGAGACTAACAGGAAGACTTTATGGATGCTGGTTCTATGGTCAGAGTTGTACTTTCATTGCTGAGCAGATGAAGTCAACCTTTGGCCCATTTGATCTTTTCCTTCCTGAATATTAACCTTGCCCACATCCATTCAATGAGTCTCACTCTCCTGGCCTTAATCACCCTTCTTCGTGACCCAGTCCATCTGATGAATACTCCCTGTGTAAAGTTTACTTCTAAATTTACGTAGACGCTCCTCATGCTTGACACTGGTGATCAGCCTGGCTGCTTTCAACAGTACTGTACAGTGTGCCTTAACGTAGAGTTTCCTTCCTGCTTTTGAAGGACTCAATCAGCCTTAGTCTGCATATTGCATTTTAATCCAATTAATGTTCGACTTCAAGATCCTTTCTCTCGTTTTCAAATCCCTTCATGCCCTCGCACCTCCCTACCTCTCCGATTTGCTTCCCCCCCCCCCCCCCCCGACACCAGCACCCGCTGCCTTCCCTCTCCGCTTCACCATGGGCAGTCGTGCTCTCAACCACTACGCCCTGAAACTCTGGAACTCTTTCTCCCAATCCCTCCGCCTTGTCCCCTCCCTCCCCACGTTATCCCACCTAAAGATCTTCCTTTTTGATCGTGCTTATGGTCACCTCCCCTCTCCCTCTCCCCCTGGCTCAGGGTCAGACTCCACCACTGTGAAGCGCTCTCCAGTGGTGCAGTCTGACCCCACGTGAAGGACGCTGTGTAAATGCAAATTGCTGCTGTAATTCACAAACCTGTTCTCATCTTTATGCATCGATATGGATGTGTATATACATTATCATATTGTTAATGCAACAGCAGCGCCTGGCTCATTCCAGGAGCAAAAATTGGAGTAGATCTGAATGTGACTTGCACATAAACAGGCCAGTGCTGTTTCAAACCTTCTCACTGAGATGTGCAATGTCAGTGCAATGTACCTGTGGCATAGTGTACACAGTATTAGAATGAACAGGGCAGAATAGTAGGTTTTGATACTTTGACACGTGGATTTCAAGTGGATCAAACACTATCTTGTCCCCCTTCTCTCCCTCCTTCCCTGTAAGTCAGGCATTCCAGCCTTTTCCTTTCTAGCTTTCCTCCCTGTGAGCCAGCCGTTCTTTGCCTCCCTCCCCATAGGCTAGTCTCCCTCCCTGGCAAGTTCCTTCCTTTTCTCCCTCCCTGTCCCTAGTGTGATATCCTGCATTTTGTCATTGTTCTCAGCCAATGTAAGTCCTCTTTAATGGTTGCCTGTGATCCAGTGCTTAACTGAGTCTGCTGTGAGGTAAAGATAACCTTGGCAAAAATCCTAGACGTTGATAACAGTAACTTCAGTAACTTAAAAGAATTAGATTATTAGGTTCTCAGGCTTTTGTAGCAAACAAGTATAGTACATTAGGAGGGGAGTTTTCCAGTAATTATTGAGAGCAGAACAGTCAGAGAATCCAACTGCATCTCCTTACAAGTGTGTAGTCTGATCACCTACACCTTTGTAATAAACCTTGATTCCAATACTTTACGTTTGGAGTCCACCTGTTATCAGCATCGAACATGTAAGCCCTTTGGAGGGAAGGGGGCGAGGTTGACATGGGTTTGTAGGTCACTGTTCCTAGCAATGTTAAGCTTAGCTGTGCAAATAAAGAACTGTGTTGTGTTTTAATTGAAAGTGGCCTTCATCTTTATCCTGTCTTCCACTTTCCAGGTGTTGCTGCTTCTTCAAGAGGAAAAAGAGAAAGGGCACACAGAGGCACAAATGACTACGTTTGTCCAGGGACTGCGAGGTTCTGCTTGCATGTTCACCTCCTCTTATTTCAGATGAAAACGACATCTGAGCGGTTGAGAAGCTACAGACTGATTTCTCGTTTGCTTTTGCCTGTGCCTGTGTTTCCTCTGCTGGGAAGGACCTTCTCGTCAGTCCGTCAGTCAGTCAGTCAGTCAGGCTCAATTGCACTTATTATGGAATGACTTCTCAGACGAAGATGGACCCTGGCACGCGCCCTCAGCTTTTTCTGGCCAGGAAGAGAGGATAAATCCTCCCCTGTCCTGTCGTTGACTCGAGACGAATGGTGGGAAGACTCTGCCCAAACAGACACTAGGTGGCACAGCATCCCAGCTAGGGGAGCCAGGTGTCAGCCAGAAGCCACATGACATTGTGGCAAAGGGGGCAGACAACACATTTGTCAAAAAAAAATGGTTGTAACTATTTTGTGATGTAGCATACAAGCTGTGACGAATTTACAATCTACTGTTTTTCCCAACTCTTCACCCTTTTTTTGTCAATCTTCTTTGCAACTTTTCAAATGTTGGCAGATGTGTTTTGTGTATATGCCGTTTGAAGTAATTTTTAAGGAAAAAAAAACAAGAGGTGGGCTCTTTTGCTTTCTCGAGGTGCACTTAATATGTCGGTGTGTATGGGCGTGGGTACGTGTGTGGGCGTGCTGGGATCCAGACCAGATCAAAGATCAAACTACAACAGCAAAATGGATAGTCAAATAAGAACACACACACACACACACACACACACTGGCCGCTGCAGCAAGTTTCAGGCCAGTCACTGCCACTTTTTGTGTTTTTAGTTGAAATTTCGATGGTTACATCCAAAGTACAGCGTTTCTATGGAAACATTACTAAGTTAAAACAGCATTAATTCCCTGAGATTTTTTTTCTTAAGTCGGATGCCACCAGCCTTTGACACAGCATCTGATTTAAGAATTGTTGCAAAATGGTTGCCAAAATAAATGAACAGCTTGTTACTTTTTTTTATGTTTTAGGTAGTTTCACTGGACAAAAAGTAGGTATTAGCACTGCAGGAGAGGTGACTTTTCAAGGGAGGCACCCTTCTAATTCCAGCCATGTACACTGTCGGAAGAGTTTCATGTCTACTCCTCATTGTAGTTTATCTTCAGATGGCATAAACTCATCTTTCTGGGGTCCCAAAGAGTAGACTTCTTTCCATTACATGTAAGTACTGTACTAACTGAAAGGCTTGTGTTAATTGAGATTATGGAACTTGAATATTCCCAAAAGTTTAATGGGAAAAAGGGTAGTGGGTGGGGGCTTTAACCCTTCATGATACGTGCAGAATTTAGACCCTTAAGCACACTCCGTACCTGCTGGTCAGTGACACTGCGGAGATGTTTGCTTAAGGCAGCTGTGTCCTCAGGAAGCCGCAAAGTGCCTGTGGCTTAGTCACCATCCCCAGGCTGCCGTGCCCCTAGTTTAGCCACACATTGAGCATTACAGAAATTTACCCGTTAGCCAGCCCCTTCCCCCTGATTTACAGAGATCTAAATGATGCTGAGCTGGACCACAGGGTATTGCTACAACATTCTGTATGCCTGGACATCATGGCTTTGGTTCGTTCCAGCACTTCACATGGAGTCAGAGATTGACTCCAGCCTGTGGTGCCAGGCAACAGCATGGCTGTGTTTTTGTCACTTCACAAGTCTCGAAACTCGTCCACAGCACTTTTAACAATGAAGTGTATTGGATTAATTAAGACAAAGACTGAGATGTTTTTCCTACAAAATATCCAGTCAATTCATTTTACAGTATATCCTGTGAAGCGCTTTGAGACGTCTCAACGACTCAATAAGGCGCTGGATCAGATGCAAGGATTATAAGGATTGTCACAAAGATGGAGATGTCCTGAACATCCTCAAGTGACAAATGGACTGACCATTCTGGGATTACTAGCTGTGATTCAGCCAGGCCTGGAGGTGTGTTTCTGAAGCTAAGTGGGTAGAAGTCGTGTCGGCTTCTTGCTATGCCTGAAGGTGCAGCTCTCTTCACCAATTCATGACCCGAGTCAAAGGCTATGATATCTTAAACAAATCTCTCTATGGAGCAGATCTGGAGCTTTGAGGAGATGTATTTTGTGAATCTCCTTCCTCAATATATCATTGTCGGGACCTCCAATGTGTTTGGCTAAAAATAAGCTAAGTGTAGAAATCAAATAGTGTGTGTCTCAGCCCCTGTGTGGGTGTGAGTGAGTCCCCAGTGTTGTTCTCCACCTTTAGCCGATAGGTGGATTGCTTTTACGGGAGAATAATCTCTTCAAAAAACAAATAATAATAATAATTTGGTCCCTCAATCTACGAATGCTTGTGGGACACTGCTGTGCACAATTGGCTGCCACGTTTCACCCACAAAATATACAGTTAAATTCAGTTTACAGTATATTCTGTGAAGCGCCTTGAGACGTCAAGGAGACTTGATAAGACGCTATATCAAATACGAAGATTATTATTATATAGTGCAGCGCATTTTGTGCGTCTCATGTGGAGTGTTGTGTGGTTCAGAGTGAGCCAAGCAACCCCTTGCATGGTAGAGAGACACTGGCATTATCTGCCTGGGTTTGTCAACATGGCTGTTAATCTGTTAGTGGGGATCTGTAGCGAGGTTGGGAAGGAGAGAGAAAATGCTTCTCTCTCAAATCTACAAAATATTGCCCATCCTTAAATGATCTCATCATGCAAAAGTTTATTTACCTCCCCCCCCCCCCCCACTCTAAACCCCATTTAAATTTTCTGTTTTTCCCAGCTCTTCACTGAGTGTTCGAAAATGATTTTCTTTTTGAAAATTATTCTTTTTCTGGAAAGGTAGCCAGCCCGCTGTGTTTTTAAAATCTGGAATAAAGACATCACGTTATTTATAAAGTGAAGCTCGATTAAAACAAGACAATTTCTGTGGCCAGTAACTCGCAGACTTCAATCCCCACAATTTTAAAACTCCAGATTAAGAAGTGTACCTCAGTGGATAGAGCACTCACCTTGCAAACGAGAGAAGACCTAGTTTGATTCCTGGGCAGGGTGAAATGTTGGGCAAGTTTCCTTACTCCATATGCCTCTGTTTACCTAGCAGGAAGTAGGAACCCGGTTGTTAGTCGATTGGCGGATCGCTTTTCCGGGGATAATAATTCCTCAAAAAAAAATTATTTAAAAAATTGATTTAAATAAAATCCATTCAAATTTTTTTAAAAAAATAATAATTTGGTCCCTCACTCCACGGCTGTTTGTGGGACACTGCTGTGCCGTGTTTTGTCCACAAAATATAGTCAATTCACTTTACAGTAGACTCTGAAGAGCTTTGACAGGTCTTGAAGGCACTATATCAAATGCAAGTATTATTATCTGCATTCCAGTAATCTGAATAACCACTGTCCCCACCTTTCTAAGTAAAGCATGCTGCCAAGTCGCAGATATCTGTCGCAATGTCTGGTGAAACCCTCGTTGTGGCGAGCCCAGCAATGGCCCACTGTAATGTTTACAGGGTAATCTCGTCTGTACATCGGGATTCCTAGCCTCTCAGCTGTACAAATTCTACTTGTGTTCAATCATTCCATGTGTAACTTTGGAGAGTTTAGTGGAGGTAACCTGACAGAGAAACTGAGAGAATGAAATTGGGGAAACGAGACAGGCATCCCCTCCCTTTCCTTCCCCTCCTCCCCAGTGAAAACTACAGCTGGGGTTATACAGGAACAAGTGCAATATAAACACACACATTTTGTTTTCTGGAGAAATGTACACAAAGCAATTAAGATTGTGTTTTGGGTGGAGACTGGGGGAGGCGGGAAGGGAAAGGAGGTTTTCAAGTGTGGGAATCTTGTCTGTAGAGTCTCTGCTCCTGGCAGATGGTTTATTTTACTGTCCTTTATAGAGAGCCGAGCAGAGGTTGGCGTGCAGGGAGTGCTGTGACACAGTTGGCTTGTTACTGCAGTGCTGGTAACTCAGTCAAAGCACCAGGCACCTCGTCAGGTCTCCTCTGGCCCAGCCACATAACCAGGTATGATCGCAGAGAGACAGCTTTGTAAAGAATGAGAGAACAGGATAATTATTACCCAAATTGACTAATTGCAAACTCAATACTTAAAACGGTTTTGTTATTTAACTGGTCAACCTTATCTAGTCTTGTGGATTTTTTGTACATTTTATTTAAAAGGTTTAGTTGACAGTATTTGTAGATTGGTTTGTTTTTTCTCCCGATTTTCAAAAAAATTAAATCAAAACGACACAACAGAACGCCTGTTATAACATTCCAGCCCTTGCCGGGGGTTCTGTGTAGTTTCTTCCTTTTAAAATGATGTAAGGTTTGGGAATCGGGAAGTTTTGGGGATCGACAGAAAAGCGGCAAAAAGTGTAGACGTGACTTGTCCCTTTAAAGAGACGTTTACCGCCAGCAGTTTCAATGTTTCTGATGATTTCCACGTGCTTGAAAGTAAATATATTTGATTTTGTTTAAAAAATAATCAACGCAGTGGCTTATAAGCAGTATTCCTGAGTGTTTTTTACACTGTCTTGCATTCCAAATGTGGAAATTGGCAAGATTTGAAAGGTACACAAAGCACTGGTTACAGTAAATACGTCTTTAATAAACTGGTCAAAACAAACCTTTTCACCATACTTGACATCTTTCTGATTCTGTGCTGTTTATTTCTCTAACATACTGAATGGTTTGAGGAAGCTTGGAAGTAGCTTGAGTTTTTGTTGTGAAGAGTTGATTCCCTCCCTCGCCCCTACCCCTCTTTTTAAAATTTATATATACATATACACTGTGATCAAAAAGTCTTATTTTTCAGCTGTCCTATTATCTAAAAAAAACATTTCTTTTAAGACTTAATAGACATTGTAATTCCTGCTCCACGTCCCCGACCCACCCGCCCCACCATTGGCAGGAGAGCCTTCAGCCACTCTGCCCCCAACCTCTGGAATTCCATCCCCCAATCACTCCGCCTCACCCCCTCCTTACCCTCCGTCTCAAAACCCTCCTCTTCGACCATGCCATCGGCCACCCCCCTTCCTCTACCCTCCCTTCTCCCCCCCTGACCCCAGCTCTGGTCTGAAATGCTGTACTCTGTCCAGCGCTTTGGGACGTCCTCCCGACGTGAAAGGCGCTATACAAATGTAATCTTGTTGTTGATATAATAATAATAATAATAATAATCCTTGCATTTGATATAGCGCTTTTCACGTCGGGAGGACGTCCCAAAGCGCTTCACAGAACACACTGTAAAGCGAATTGACTGTATATTTGTGGGCGAACGCGGCAGCCAATTGCGCACAGCAATGTCCCACAAACAGTTGCGGATTGAAAATGACCAATTTATTATTGTTTTTGGTTTTGGAGGGATTATTATTAGGCTCTGTGTGGAGTAAGGAAACTTGCCCGTTTGAATGAAGCAGCAATCAGGCAATAATGTACACATTGGTTTTGTTTCTCAATAAAAAGTTATAATAATAATCCTTGCATTTGATACAGCGCCTTATCACGACTTCTAGATGGCTAAAGCGCTTCACAGAATATAATGGAAAGTGAATTGACTGTATATTTTGTGGCGAAACCTGGCAGCGAATTGCGCACAGCAGCATCCAACAAACAGCCGTGGATTGAGTGACCAAATTATTATTAATATTATTATATATATAATTCAGTGATGCATTCCATTTAAAAGTTACAGCTCAAGATCCGGTTCCGTTAATAATAATATATATTATATATCACAACCTTGTGTGTGTGTATGTATATATTTTATATATATATATATACACACACACACACTATATATGTTCAGATCCATAAAGGATTCTCTAAATGTGGAAGTTGGGGATTGTTTTTGATCAATGCTGCTTTTGGGTAAGAATCCACAATTGAATGCTTTATTGAAACTGTAAGGCCTACATTGTCTGATCACTTCAGGAGGAAGCTAAGTTGATTAAGTTGGTGTGTGCAGACTCGAATGGTGCGTGACCAAATGCTGAAATGTGTTCCTTAAACTGACCAAACAACAGCTTCCTTCAATAATTTGTTCAAAGACGGGCACCGCGAATCTCCGATTCAGTGATGCATTCCATTTAAGAGTTACAGCTCAAGATCCGGTTCCGTTAAATTTTGTTCCAAAATAATAATAATAATTTGGTCACGGCTGTTTGTTGGACGCTGCTGTGCGCAATTCGCTGCCAGGTTTCGCCACAAAATATACAGTCAATTCACTTTCCATTATATTCTGTGAAGCGCTTTAGCCATCTAGAAGTCGTGATAAGGCGCTGTATCAAATGCAAGGATTATTATTATAACTTTTTATTGAGAAACAAAACCAATGTGTACATTATTGCCTGATTGCTGCTTCATTCAAACGGGAGGTGTTGGTTAAATGAGTGACCAGAGGAACAGGTTTCACAATAATGGGATTCTTTTTTTCTAACCTCGAAGGGAGCATGAGCAGAAGCTGTTTTTTTAAAAAAAATTAAACCATTGTATGTGACACAGAATATCTATTTCAGCACGAATTTTACAAAAAAAAATTCCAAATTCCAGACTACAAATCAAATCAACTTGCTTTTGTGAACTCTTGCCCTTTTGTACTGCTCCCTGTATTTATGGGAGGGTGTCACGAGATTGAGACTGCAATTTCTTTGTAAAGTGTATAAAATGCAACTGTGGAAATTGTTTTTTTCTAAAGCTGATGTGTCGACGTGTGTCTTTTCCTTGCTCAAAACCT